CCCCCCAACAACGGGGGGTTAACGTGGATTATTACTAACAGTGTCGTTGGTTAGGGGACTCTGCAGACTGCAAAGGATTCCTCCCCCTGATGAGTTGGCAGCACTCGGAGGAAACAGTCTGTCACAGCCTCGAGCTTCTTGTCCTTTTCTCCCTTTAACGGGCAGATCTCTGTAACTACATATTGTCTATATGGTATATGGTTCATAAATAGTGTCAGATATCTATGAACTAAAAGAGCACACTGTGCGAAACAAACGGTAAAGTACACAAAGGCAAACATGAAGAGCACACAGAAATCATTCATTTTTATCAATCTTCTTTTTAACTCTCCCTTTACTGTGCATCTCAAGTACAACGCTCACCACATTGATGAAGTTGAACACAAGCTGCCCGCATCCGCTTGTGCCATAGTGGCCCACATGTACACTGTGAGAAAGAGGCAGAGAAAAGGGGGCAGGGATAATCACAGAGAAGAGATGGAGAGTACACCAAGCAAAGAAAGACGGAGGAAAAGTAAGGCAAAGTAAGGACTGTGGAATGAAGATGCAAGCAAACGAAGGGATAAGAAAAGGGAAAGTGGACCCTGGTCAAGGAATATGGAATGAAAATGAATGCAAAGAAAAAAATGAGAAAAGGCTCGAGAATCAGTCTGCCCTTGACAACAGAGAGGAAATAAAAGACCGTGCATCCAGTGTAACGCCCATGGCCGCAAAATGGCTACTATCGTCAGTTGGGCGATGTATATGTAAAACTGAGGATCCGCAATGTGATAAAAAGAACTGAATGGACAATGCAGTGCAAGTAGAATTTCAACAAGCAGTGTACGTCCTGATCCATACAAAATGGTGTTTTATAGCGCAGTGGAAGATTTAGATACAAGTCCTGACCTGACCGGGACTGACCTCTTTCACGTAGTACAAGATAGCGAAGCAGAATGCTAGACTACTAATGACTAGCCCAATCAATGTTTCAACGTAGACAAAACATACATCATGCTCATCACAAGGTGTGAAGGGGCCCGGCGCTATACTAAAAGGGCCTTTACCCGATTCAGACCCTGAATGACGAATGCAGCATAGTGGGGTCACTCGGCCAGAGCTCAACTCGTGAAAATCAGATCAAAAGGCATGTTCTCTGGGTCAAAAGTCACATCCTAACTAAAGCAAAAGTCATGTCAAAGGTCACAGTTGTGCCCCTGGACGAACAGTTGCAGTATTCAATTGTGGGAGACACATCTGTTCGTCCAGAGGGTGTGCAAGTCATGTCTGTTCAGGCAGGAGATGTGTCTGTTCGAGCACTGCATGTGTCTGTTCGGGCAGTACGTGTGTCTGTTCGTACTGAAGTTGTGTCTGTTCGGAGGAAAGTCAAAGATCAGGTCCCAATCCAGTCAAAGTCCAACATGAGGTCTAGGTTCAGACCCCAAGTCCGAAATTCAGGCCTGAAGGCCGCAGCAGCAGCAGACCCTGAAGGAAAAGGTACTGGGACACACACTGCAGAGGTCTGGGACAGGGAAGACCCAAGTGTGCCAATGCAGACCTCGCGAAGGGAGGCCAGCAGTATACGAAACCAGGCCAGCCTCCCCACACGACAGATCTCCAGTGGCATTGTTGCGTGGAAGTGCTGAAGGCACTTGTGCGCTAGCATGCTGGGGAAGCGCTGGCAGAAGTAGCTGCGCAAGAGGAGTGCTGGGCGCTGGCTGGCAGAAGCAGCCATGGCTGCGCCAGCATGTTAGTAGATGTAGAAGGGTTAGAGGTAGTCTTTAGTGAGTAGCATTCAGAGTAGATTCTCGTAGTAGGAGTGTGCATGCATGGTGGGACGAGAGGACCAAGACAAGGGATCTTGAGAGAGAAGAGCAAGAGGAGAGAGAGAGAGACAGGTTCCTGAGTTGGCTATGGTGGATACTTACCTGTTCCGCGCTGTATTGTCATCTGGAGGAGGCGCTGGCAGAGCCAGGCCCCTGTGGTGTTGATGAATGAGGGAGACTTGTGATACTATTCAGCACTTTACTCTTGAACTCGAGATACTCTTTATAATGCTGTTGTGATAATATAAGCTGCGCTACCTTGGTTCTCATCCCATCTCGACTTTGCTTTGTATGAAGCTTCACAATCTGTGTGAATGATATCTTGGCATGCAATGTGATACACTCTGGCAAGTTGTGGACAGTCAGGTCCCTTGCAATACACAGGAAAGAGGCGCCAGGTCCAGACATACACAATCGAAGAGGAGGGGATCGGACGAAGACGAGGAAGGGGGAGATGGGAAAGTCGTCAACACCAAGTCCCATTACAAGTCCCAAATAATCCCTCTTCAAAATGTCTGAAGTCCAACGTCGAGTCTGGATCCAAATGTCACCAGGCTCTCTCTCTCTCTCTCCCTCGTAGTCTGCTGATGCAGTGAAGTCAGATAGCGAGAGGGTGAGAAGGAGATGGTGGACTGAGAAGAGGAAGAAGAAGAACTCTCTCTCTCATGTGCCAGGTACTAACCTGTGAAGATGGCGCTGTGCTGCAGGTACCTCGAAGACGAAGTTGGAGCAATGGCGCTGCAAGTAAGTCTCCCTGGCCTCCGCCCAATCTCTTTCTCTTTTGTATTACTCTAGCTCCTATGGCGCCCAGCGCTGAAGACTACTGCTAACGCTACTAGCGCCGAGCGCTGAAGACTATTGCTAACGCTGCCACTACTACTGCAGCGCTCCTCCAGATTGCTGCTGCCGAATCCTGAAGACTACCTCCTGTCTCCTGAACTGCATGTGAAGTGCCTGGGAAGTACCTAGGAACTACCTGCCTGCCTGCAGGGCGGGCCAGTCCTATATATTGCTGGCCCGTCCAGGAGGCTGCTCTTGCCAATGCCGTAACGTGCCAGACCCTGGCGTTGAAGCTCAACCAGGGGTTGTCTTGAAAACAGGCCCGAAATGGCCTGTGCTAAAACCCTGGTTTGTTGCCTACGTTTCAGGGCAGGTCGAACTGATGAGGGCCCTTTCAGGCTGAAACGACACAGGGCCTGTAGGCCCTTGTTTTCAGGCTTTCAAGGTCGAACTGATGAGGGCCGGTGCAGCCTGTTGCAGGCACAACATGTAACAGAAGGCCACACCCTAGGAAGGCTTCACCTCCCTCTTTGTTGCTCTTCAGCATTTGCCGTAGGACCCTGCACGATAATCCGGGCCACACCCTAGGATGCCACTCAGGCGGGTTGGCCAGGCCAGTATGCTGTTGGGTCCCCATCAGCCCCAGTGCATTTCTGTGTGGGGGTGTTTAATGGCCCAGTACTGTGCAGGGCAGCTGTACGGCTGTCCTCACGCTGCCCTGCACAACAATAACGGAAACACTTGGGGGACCCACTTGCCCCCTTTGTCTTGTGGAAATATTTTACCATTCACACAAAACTGCTGCACCGTGGTGATTGCCCTTGTGTTGCTGTGCTCCTCTGTTGTCATTGCTTCACTTGAAAGATGCCATCCCCATGGAGTCCCCAGAATGTCGGGCTCGGATTGCCACATATGGAGGAGGGCGTAAGGTCATCATCATCATCATCATCATCATCATCATCATCTTCATCCCTTTGTCTTCATCTTTAATATTATTACTCATCTCGGTGATTCTTTATTCCTGCCAAACGAGGGGATAGTCTAGGTAGGGAAGGGCAGGCTAATCCTCTTGCCAAACGTCCAGAAGAAGAGGGAGGAGGGGGGGGGGGAGGAGAAAGAGGTCACCTTCCCCGCCATTTCCACCTCATCATCACCTTCTCCCACGCCAATCGCCAATCGCCACCTCAGTGCCATCCATCACCACATTCCCCCTGCCCTCCCTCTAACTCACCACCTTTTCCTTCCCCTATCTCGCCACTTTTGCCTCCACCTCATGTCTTGCTAACTTGTCCTCAACCCAATGGGAACCTCCCATTACTTGCATCCCAGCCTTGCCTTCCCCCATCGAGACCCACCTCCTCCCCCCTGCTCCCTATTGCGAACTGCACTCCCCTATCTCGCCATCTTTTCCTCCTCTATCTTGCTACCTTTTCCTCCCCCATCTCACCACCTCTTTGTCCCCCTATCAAGCCACCTTTTCCTTAAGAATAGTGGCCTCCCATTCCCTCCCTTCCCCCCCCGATTGTGACCTCCCATTTCCCCCCCAATTCCGGCCCTGCGTCCCCCTACCTTGCCACTTCCACTAGGGCCACTACCTCGCCAACTTTCCCCCCGCTCAATGGTGACCTCCCATTACTTCCATCCCGGCCTTGTCTAACCCCATTGAGACCATCCTTCCCCGTCCACAATTGTGACCTGTCATCTGCTGAATCCCTGCTTTGCCTTCCCCAACCACAACCTCCCCTTCCGCTGCATTGCCACCATCCCCTACGCACGATTCTGACCTACCTTCCCCCTACAGCGTTACCTTTCCCCACCCATCAATAGTATCCCCCTCCCCTGACCTCACTTCCCCACATGACAACCTCCTCTCCCCGTACATCATCAGCATTTCCCCCTCCAATCAAGTCCTTGCCTTTCCCCATGGCAACCTCCTCTGCCCCCATCCCATCTTCCCATCCACCTACATTGTCATTTTCTTCTTCTTCCATCATTATTAGAAACAACTATTATCATCATTATAATCACCATGAAAGGATTAACGTGACTATTAGCCACGCCCTGTCGGGCTTCAGAAAATCTCGAGCCCTTAGGCCCAGGTCAAACTCGGAGATTCACGTGACTATTAGCCAGGCCCTGTCGGGCCTCAGGAAATCTCGAGCCCTTAGGCCCTTACGCACATGGAGAAGGGCCAGGGGCCCAGTCTAGAAGCTTCCAGTCGAATTTAGAGGTCTAGTCCCATTAGAAGTCAGCAGTGTCCAGTTTCGGGCAGTCGTAGGCCCATTTCAAGAAAGGTCTAGAGGTCAACCTCTACCTGTTGGGGCTGAAGAGTTGAGAAGTCAAGTCTTTACTGGTTGGGCGTGGTACCAAGGGAAAAGTCCAGAAGTCGAAAGTCCAACCTTGCAGCAGCACCTTCCGGAAGGCACCGGTACCCAAGAAACATGCAGTCCACTGCACACACCCAAGCGGCCGGTACTGGTCCAGACAGACCAATCCAGTCCATGCAACTATATAAGCAAACACAGTGCCTTGGCGATTCATTCAGAGTTGCATGTGGCGGAAGCACTGCGCGGCTTGTGCGACCATCGCGACCCTGTGCCTTGTGGTAACGAGGAGGACAACGCGAAGCAAGTTGGAGGCGACGCGTCGGAAGGCGGCCATAGCCGCCAGGGTGAAGAAGCAACAGGCCTCCATAGCTGCTGGAGACCAAGGAGGCGGGTGTATTCAGGGATAGATCCAGGCATAGGGAACGTGAGGCAGAGAGGGATAGTGTACATACATGAGAGGGAAGACAGTGTGTACATACTAGAGAAAGAGAGGGAGATCGTGTACATACTGAGAGAGGGAGAGAGAGGGAGAGACTAGTGAGACACATATCTGAAGCTGTTGTCTGATGGACGTTGCTGGGCTGAAGGAGGAGTGGCCAGACTTTTCAGCTGTGCAAATTCTTGAAATAAAACAAGTTGGTTGTTCTCTTGGTACTCGCTACGCATGCGTGCTTGGAAAACAGTCGAACACGCTCTACTCAGTTTGTTTGATGACAACTGCATGTGAGATAATTGCAACCTGATCACACAGCTCGTTTCCGTTACATCCGCGTGGAGTACTTTGTGAAGTGAAGCTGCTGGTGAAGATTAAGGCCGGCAGGGGTTTGATTGTGGAGGTTGAGGTGTGAGAAACTGGCGAGGAGCACTTACCTGGTGTGAAGATTTCAAAGACCTGCATCAAGTGGAAGTTTGGTGAGGTGCATCATTGCCCCAACGTTGTGTCCATGCGCTGACATTTTGCTGTTTGTTTCTTGGTAATTGTACCTTCCGTCCCACACTCTGGACAAGTCCTGCTGCAAGTTGGACTGTGTCTTTGAGTCATTGGGATACTTGAGTACATGGATGCTGAGTGCAAGATGAATGAGAACCAGGACGCTCAACTCAATTATCAAACCCAGATTTAGAGAGAAAACATCATGAGTTCGAAGTCTAAAGCGCTGAACAGAGTTACAAGTCTCCTTCGGTCAACATGAGTTCCAGGCCTGGTGCTCATCAGCGCCAGCTACCAAATGTCAACAACAGCGCTCAACAGGTAAGTGTCACCACAGCTCACACTTCCCCCTCTCTCGTCTGCCTTCTTCTCTCTCTCCCTCTATGTCTATAGTCCTGGCCTACCCTCATCCATCATGCATGCACACTCCTTATCACACAAGGATCTACTCTGAATACTACTCACTGGTATCTCCTACTGACTATCCCTACTAGCATACTAACTAGCGCTGGCGCAGCTATGGCTGCCTTCCCTCTAGCCAGCACTCTCTTCCTCCTTCCCTCATAGTGCTGCTCTTCAGCCTAGCACAGCTCACACACATCTGGCGCACAAGTGCCAGGGCACTTCCACACTCTCATGCGAAGTGAGCATCTGTCCAAATGAGAGGCTGGCCAGTCCTTTATAGTGCTGGACTGGACTGGCGTGGCCTGCATTCAGCCTCAAAGGTGCCTGGGACTCCCGCCCAGTACCGATTGTTGCAAAGTGTGTGTCCCAGTATCTTTTCCCATGGTCTGCTGCTGCTTTGGGCCATCGGGCCTGTCTTTTGGACTCCTGGTCTGAATCAGGACTGACTCGTGGGATTATGACTGGACTGGGACTGTCGCCTTTGACTCATTGCCGAACAGACATGTCTTTTCATCGAGGAGACGTGACCCTAACTCAGCCTTGAAAATTGTGTCCAATACCTGTTCGTTCAGGACCTGCTGTGACCTTTCAAAATGATTTATCACTTCACTATGGATGTGACTTTTACCTCAGGGAACTTTGTCTTTTGAGTTGCTGCTCGTGAATTTAGTTTTGGCCGACAAGGCCCCTTCCTGTTGGGGCATCCATTTGGGTCTGATTCGTAAAGGCCCTTTGACTCTCGCCGGCCTAATTTCGAAGTCCTCTGAGAAAAGGTCTTACCTATCCACAATAATAATTCCTCTTCTTGCTCTTTCATAAGCAGATACAATGTGTGGTGCTGAGTCAATTAGCTCTTCTCTACTAAACCAGCGGTCTTCACTTGGATCTTGATAGGCAAATCTGACTTTATATTGCCGCTGAGGACTGCCTCTGCGTCCAGTCTGAATAGTACTTTCAGCAACGATCTTATCAACATCAAACTTTCCATCCATGCTTGGAGGAATTGCTGACCTTCGACTGGGAAACAGTTCGTTAGTCACACACGGTAAGAGCTTTGACGCATGAAACACCGGGTATGTATGTAGGTGTAGAGGAATTTCAATAACGTAGGATGGTCCGTCCGCATCTCCTATCACATCCAGTACTTGCCATGGTCCTCTATAGGCGGGTAACAACTTTTGAGAGATGCTCTCTTATGAGATAAACTCTTTAGAATTAACCCAGACTAGATCACCTACAGCAAACTGAGAAGGTCTTCTGTGCTTATTTGCCTGTTCAATCATCTGATGTTGCGCTTTGACTATATTCTCTTTTACCTTTTCTAGATCCTTTGGTATTGCATAGCAAATTCTCGCGTTCCCAACGGAAGTTTGTGTACTTGATCGGGATTCAAACAATCTATAGGTCTGTGGGGACGCCATCCCAGATGCAACTCCATTGGAGTTCAGCAAGTAGATAAGTGTACAGAGTTATTATAGGCACTAGCAACTTTGGGCAAATGCTCATCCCAGTCAATCTGGTCAGGACGAATGTACATACGTAGCGTCTGCTGCAGAATTTTGCTCATCTGCTCAGTCTGCCCATTCGTCTCAGGATGCCGACCTGATGACATTGTCAATTTAGAGCCATCGACATTCATCAGTTGCTGTCATTGTTCACTCATGAATCGCGAGTCTTTGTCACTAACTATAGTCAAGGGATATCCATAGTCTTTCACCCAGTGATCAAAGAATTCCCGAATCACCAAGTCAGTTCTAGCTTCCGAAGGTAATGCCACAAAGACAACAAATTTACTAAATCTGTCAACTAACACCATGATTGGGTTTTCCGGTTCCTGGTTTTCACCTTTGTGTCCATAAAATCGCTGGACACAGAGTCTCCTGGACCTGTTGGAATAGGCAAAGGCTTAAGAAAACCAAGGGGAGGTTGTGTGGTGTTCTTGTTCCATTGACACACTTGACAGCCTTGCACATATGCAATGCAATCAGGCTTCATTCGAGGCCAGGTGTAAGAACGCAAGAGGTTAGACTAGGTCTTCCTCCACCCGAAATGGCCTTCCATACATGGCACTCCCCCAAGATCACACTTTTAATCGCTTCCACGTATGGAATACAAAGCCTATCATGCACATCTGTTCTTTCAAACAACAGTCCTTGGGTTATTTGATAGTTAGGAAACTCTTGTGGCGCTTCTTGAACACGTTTTAGCATAGCGCCATAAACAGGATCAGTGGAATAAGCATCCCTAATCTTATCTTGTAAAACGGTGCCTACATCTAAATATGTTCCAATAGCACCAAAGAAATCAGATCTTCGACTCAGTGCGTCAGCAACAACGTTATACTTAACCTTTACTGACTTTAGTTCAAAGTCATACTGATCAATTTCCGCCACCCACCTTGTCAGCTTAGGTGTCATCCGGGCTTGCGTTTTTAACCAGCGAAGTGTCTCATGATCTGAGTAGACTTTAAAGTGGCGTCCTAGGAGATAATGGCGCCAATGATCCAAGGCTTCCCGGAGAGCGAACAACTCTCTTTCATACATGGAAGCGGCAACCTTCTCACTAGGCAGTCCTCGGGACATAAATTCCACAGGCCTGTATCCATTTCCATCATCTTGTTGGAGTACATCGCCTATCCCATATTGACTGGCGTCGGTAGTAACAACAAAGGGCAAAGAAGGATGAGCAACTTTCAAAACCGGATAGTTAATCAAACATTTCTTGAGACGCTTAAACGAGGATGTACAACTCGTTAAGGATCAGGGAGTATGGCGAAGAATAGAGGCTGCGAGAACGAGATGAAGAATTGAAGAGAGTTGCTGACAAAGGAGGATCAGGCCGGGGACATAGACAGTAGAGTGACCCTCTTGACTGATGTCGTGCTCCACCCTTGTGAAAAGACCGCCGCACTACGCAAGACTGTGGACCGCATAAGTGCCCTACAGACGGAACAGCGGAGTGCCTGGAAGAATTTTGGAGAGGCAATCCACCACAAAGTACACGAACGGACTACTAACCATGCACTGCAACAGGAACAGTTAGCCACTAAAAAGACAGTAAGGACCGTTGCAGAAGAAAGGTCCTTAGGAGGACCAGGGGTTCCAGAGAGAAAGGTAGCCGGCCCTCTAGACGAGAGCCAGATAAAGAGGGAGAAGATCAAGGTCAAGTTTCCCGAAACCTGTTACGGTAAGAGGGAAGAGAACTTTGACAGGTGGGAAGCTACTGTTAGGACGTATATCCAGGCTCAGCGTATCATAGAGGAGGATCAGATTGTGATGGCTTACTCATGTTTAGGAGGCGCTGCACAAGACTCGCAAACGCGGCAGGCTGTGGGCGAGATATTGTAGCCTACTCCCAACAGACCAGACTGAATGACTTCGTACTGGCTCTACGCAAACACTTTGAAGACAGGACTAGAGCTCTC